TCCCTCACACCCCTCTTGTAACTGCACACTCCTCCCCCAGAGAACACATACACCGAGTCTCCTTCCCTCCCACGGTCACCCCTGAAGGGCACAGTGACCCAGGCAGAGTCACCAGGGAAGGACTCTCTCCAGTGTGCTCTTCCGAGAATTAGGAGGCCATCTCCCACCCTGCCCTGCCTGGCCCCCATGTTTCTGAGTCTGGGAGGCCCAAATGCTACCAAGAAAAGCCTACAGGCCCACAGACATGCGTTCATACCTGGAAAACCCAGACTCAGACATGCAGCACACACGAGGCCCTGGAGAGATGAGCTGTCATGGGTCACACCACCCAGAGGACTCGAGGAAAGGATGGGCCCACAGGCAGAACCTCCCTGGGCTGGAGGAGGAGGGACTGTAAAGGCAATTTCTCCGGTTGTCAGTGTGGTGGCACAAGAAGGACCCTAGAGACCGGTGAGCCCACGACCCTCACTCCAGAAATGAAGTTGTTGCCCAGAGGGGCAAGCAGCTAACCCAAGGCCGCTCTTTCAGCTCCTGTGTGTGGGCCAGCATGGGCAAAGTTCGAGCCTCATAGAGCACTGCGAAGTACAGGCCCTGTCCTGACAGCTCAGCAGTTCCAGAACAGTCTCACATGCCCCTGGGATCTCTCTGTCCCCCACACCTCACACATCCATGCACGCACAGCACCCATAAACACACATAAACACTAACCAACCACGTCTTCTCGTGCAAACTTCTGGGATCATAAGACAGACATCAACGCAAAGCCCTCAGTTGTTTGTTTTTAACCTCACTGGATGGCAGAAACTTTACTAATGCTCTGAGCCCAGGGTTCTCCTCAGATCACCTACTCCCTCTGTCCCTGCCCCCAATTCTAGAAATAATGCATACCAATTTGTGAAACACAAAAGCTGGGCTAAGTGTCATTTCATTCAGCCCTTCTGTTTTCAGATAAAAGGAGCAAACCCCGACAGGTTACGTAACACCCCTGAAGTTTCCCAGCAAGAAGGGCTGATGTCGGGGTAGGACTCAGGAATTCTGGCTGAGGCCCTGTCCCTTCCAGTAAGCTGCCAACACCAACCTACTGGCGCTGGCCTCATATTTGAAACAAGCCCTCACCGTGCCTCATTTCCTTCTGGTTCTTTCTATCACGGCACCCCTGCCTAGGACGGACATTATTGTCACTGTCACCGACGCAGTGCTCACCATCACAGGGTGGGGAAGCGACACGAGGATGCCCGCACGGGTCCCCAACCCCACCGGACACCAAAACTGCCTGCAACCCGATCCCTGGGCCCACAGGCGGTGAGGAAAAGACAGGGCAAAACTGTGCTGTTACCCAAGGTCATCAGGGAAAACAGGACTATGAGGATTTGGTCACATTCTTCCGCGGAGAAAACAGAGTTTGCCTATCCTTATCCATCTCAATAGCCAACTCTAATTCCAAAAGGTCTTAATATGCTCTCTTGTCCCTTTTCCAAAGTCATCTCCCAATATATATTTTTAATCTGAAAGGGCCCCAGCACAAGAGCCCTTCTGTAGGTCACTCATCGGGCAGCCTGCCAGGGGCAAGGAAGCCGCCGGCATGGAGTATAAAGTTTGCACACTGAAACAGATATTTTACTCCTACGAAAATCCTTTCTCTCTTCACTTAGAGTCTAATGGCTCCTGGTGCATACATAATTCTAATACATCGGTGATCTGGTTTTCTGTTCCACGGAAACCCCAAGAACGAGGAAGGGTGACAGAAGGAACCTCCCAGGGGCAGAAAGAGCCTTCAGCAGGAAATGACAGCAAACACGAAGAAGGAGACAGAACGACCAGAAAAGCAAAACACAGTGACTCGAAATCCACAGTATCTGGGACTAATTAGTGCAGGGGCAAACAGTTCTAAGTCAGGGACACCTCAAGGCATCAACACGCGCCATCTGCACGACGTAACCAGTAGTCACGGAGAGCACCGTGTCATCAAGAAAAGGTTAAGCTACCTTCTACAACCTCTGTTTAAGGAGACAAAAAGCATTCAAGAACTCAAGTACTCCTGGCCCCTTGCACTGTGCCAGGCCCTGGGCTAGATGCAGAGGTACGAGAACAAGCCCTGGTCTGAGCAGGACAGCCATACACCGGGAACGCCGTGGAAAAGGCAGCCGTGTCTCACATTCCTCAAGGTGCAGCAGAATATGAATCAAAATGATGAAAGGTGTTTTCCTTTCCTCCCTGCACACCCATGTGCCCCTTCTAGAAGGCGAGCAGGATTCGGAGGCCAGCAGGCCTGGGCATCCCTGCCACTGGAAGGCCTTATTTCCAGACACCTCGTGCAAAGCAGGCTGAGAGCCAGAGCTGCCCAGGGCTTGGCGAGCAGGGCAGGAGAGTAGGCCACTTCCCTCGGGCTGGACGAAACCTGGGGCCACTGCCCTGGGGCCCAGCTGAGGGACCACTGGGAGCAGCTGAACAGGGAGCCCCATGGCCTGGAGGGAAATGCCTCTGGGCAAGCCTGGAGTCAGTAGAGTTTACTGCTGTGACGGCACAGGGGTGCCCAGCAGACGCTGAGGGACCCAGGCCCACTGTGGGGCCGGCAGGAGGAACACCACCACAGGCTGAAGACCAGCCTCCCTCCCCCGCCCCTTCAGGCTTCCCCGCCTGAGCCTGGGCTCCTGTGTGCCACAGACAGGGGGAGCTCCCTTAACTGGGACTGCATTTCCTGTTGGCCAGGATGGGCGGGGGGGAGGGGAGACTGTAGCTGGTTTAGAAATATCAGGAAATGTGATCTGACCCCAGAGTGTTGTGGAGTAAATTCCCACACGCTTTACAAGTACAATGCATCCTAAGAATAGCTCTGACTGGTTGGGACGAAGTCGTGTTGGAGCACAGGCAACAGAACACGGCTTCCTGGAAGACAGAGAAGCTCCAAAGAGGTGATGACCTCCAAGGGTCTCCGAAGATGATGGGGCAGGCACTTTCCGTTCCGCAGGGAAACGTCCCCTGCAGGGGGCCTGTCCCTGCAAGATCCCAGAGACAAGTTACTCGCCCAGGGAGGCTTAAGCACAGGCACCTGGAAGGAGTGCTGGGAAAGGAGGGTACAGACGGGGTCCCCGGCAAAGGGCTCAAATCCCAGGCTCTTCAGGAACCTGAGGCAGGAGGGCCCCGGGGTTTGAGTGCTTTGAAAAGTTCATTCTGAGGACTTCTCTGATGGCTGCTCACTGCCAAGGTGTTTGATTGCAAAATCCATTTCCAAATGGCCTGCTCGCCTGTGAGAAGCTACAAGGACTGCGAATCAGGAGCAGCCATCCTCCCAAGATTCCACAGCCCACCCCGCCTCCCCGCTTCCTCAGGCTGTGGTCGCTCCTGCTTCACACCGACCCAGCCGGCCCCGGTCCCCCTCCGGCTCCCCAGAATCCCCACAGATCACCAGGCACCTGGCCTGCCCACAGCCCAAGCTCAGGAAGGTCATTCCTCATTAGAATGAGCAGATTACAACCCCTGCTTTATCCACAGTATGTGGTTACAACAGAGGGTTGAAGCCCACAGTCCCACCGCTGTGGCCTCTGCCCAGCACCCCACACCTGAAGATGTGCCCTTTCAATTCTCCAAGGAGAAAAGAGGCAAGGGAGAGAACGCCCTGTCTTCCCCCCTCCCACCCCACCCCATTCTAACCACCTGACAGGTTATCCCAGGCCCAGCAGGGCCCACGGCTGAGCTGGGGGCCACTGGAAACCCTGCTCTAGTTAAAATACATCTATCTGCAGCATTCAGAAAATAGCTATCTACAGCATTGCTTTCAGCTATAATGGAAAACTGATGGCTTTTATCTCCCCAACTTTATGACTATTGATGGGATAGAGGCTGAGGTTTGATGACCATTTAATAGCCGACCCTGTGCAGTTAGAGGAGCATCAGAAAGCAATGAAAGCGCCGAGATGATTGTCTGGCAGAGAAGTCTCCGCTGAGGTCCAGGAAGCAAAACAACCACCCTCCCCAGGCTCCGACAGAAGAAAAAAATCAAAGTCATCATCATTTCTGTTTCTCCCCCCTCCTTTCTGCCATTGACCTCTGGGAGGTTGATCCAAAGGGGAGAGAGGAGCGGGGGACGAGAGCAACGTAGGTGTGAGCCCTTACAAAGAAAGGGAGGGCGAGGGAGTCGCTGACTGATGGACACCCCCGCCCCCCACCCCTTCCTGCCCAGTCTTGAGTCCGTCATGGACTGGCTGGGCTTCTGGCCAGACTACAGGGGCTCTGGACTGTCTGAGGGGCTCCCTGGAAAAGAACTAGAAGGAAAGGGAAGGAAGCAGAAGTCTGGTCTAGCCCATGATCCAGTTGGTCTTCGACCTTCTGTCCACGGCCAGAAGCCAAAAGCCATTCCAGGGCTCTGCGAGTACTCAAGCCTCAAGCCTTCCCTGACATTCCGTCCCTTCCCAGTCTGAGGGAATCTGCCCAGTAGCCCCATCATGGCCCACCTTCCTCTCCAGGTTACTGGCCAGGGCTCTGTCTAGTGGTGGGGGTGAGCACATCACGCTTTTTTTTTTTTTAAGATGTATTTATTAGAGAGAGAGCATGCCTATGTGAGTGAGGGGCAGAGGGAGAGAGAGTCTTAAGCAGACTCCTCACTGAGCACGGAGCCTGACGTGGGGCTCGATCTCCCAACCCTGAGATCATGACCCCTGAAACCAAGAGTCAGTCGTTCAACCGCCTGTGCCACCCAGGCACCCCCACATCACCCTTTCATACATGCAGGGAGGGAATACTGGCATGGCTTCTTTACAGCATTACAAGCACCTTCACTGATCTCTTATTTTCTACAGCAGCCATGTAGGGTGGACAGGACAGAGTTGACTCTGTACTCTTTTCAAGAAGGGAACAGAGGCTCAGAAATGTTCCATGTCCCAAGTGTGGGACCCCGGTTTTTGACTCCAATGCACCCACTGCCAAGCCAAGATGCCTCGCACTGCCCCGGGGAAGGTGAGACTGACCTTCTGTCTGGGGTCTGCCACTCCCTGGCTACATGGCTCTGGGCAGATAATTTCACCTCCCTGGACCTCAGCATCTTCATCTATAAATGAAATTTTGTTGGGATGAGTTTCAAGATCTCCTGCAGCTCTGTTTCCAAGTGAACTCCTAGATCGTTGGGGGCTCCACCTAGACACGTTTTCAGGCACAATGTCTTGTTCTTCCCATAGCTGCCACCTTCCAGACCATGCACCTTTGTCCTGTCATGAATAAGGCTGAGAACACTAAGGACATAGAAACCAAGGCCCTACCCCTGCAGCCCCCCTTGTTATACACCATCACACCAGGGTCCCTCCAAACCACCCTTCCTTCAAGCAGCACAGAAGAAAGGAGGGTGCTCAGGCCAGTGGACGGGACCCCCAGGGCTCTCCCTTTCCCACCTTTGGGCCAGTTAAAGTGCTTAGATTCACTCTCTCTCTGAGGACCCCTCTACCAGCCCAACCTCCTTAATGACACAGGCCTTAGTTAAAGCAACTAGAATACAAAAGCAGAGACAGGCAGAAGAGGTGGCCAAAGTGCATCCTCCTCCACAGGGCTTCTGGGGACACGTTCCCAGCAGGAGGAAGGAGGAGGCAGGGGTCCCCCAGACCTGGTCACCTGCCCAGCTTTCTTCCCACCCTGGCTATCTCCTGGGAGATGAGAGCCCACCTCTGCTCCAAGCGCAGCTCTACACCTCGGTCCATTAGCAGGGATAGCAGGCGGCTTAACTGCCTCTGCGACAGCACACCCAGGTCTTCTGAGCCCACTGGTTACCACTCGGTAGCTACTAGTTGATTTCTCAGGGATTTCCAATCATCCCTGCTGAAACTAGGGGAGGATTAGCAAGCAGCAGGCAATGATCCTTGCTTAGTTTACTTAAAACTCCCCCAGAGAAGCAAAGCACTTAGGAAAACCAAGTGGAGAAAATACACCACCGCCCCAGACCTTCCTTCCAGGCTCAGCCTGCCAGGACTCTCCAGGCCAGGCCTCTCCCATGGGCCCCATGGGCCCACGGCCCCTCACTCTCAATGTCAGCAGCCAGCTCATTTTTTAATGGTGCCAATACCCATACCGATTCCTAAAATTTTCCACGTTGGGCATCATCTTTCCTTGTCTTTGGATAGCTGCTAAAGAGGCCTCTACATATTCCATTCTAAAATTCACAGGCTCCATTACAGGCCCCTCCCTGCACACTGCCTCTCAGAAGTTAGAGGAAACAGACCATACTCTCCTTAGCGACCTCCTCCAGCTGAGAGAACCCAAACCAAAAAGAGAAACTAGCCACAAGCACTCACACCCACCGTGGAGACCCTGCTCCATTCCAGTCCCCGTCCTCCCCTCCACCTTAAGGAGGTCCTGAGTCAGGCCCCCAAGAGCTCTCCGGGGGTCTTGCTGCCTGGTACCCCTCCCCTCCAAGGGCCTAGAATGTGCTGTCCCCTACCATCCCACAGGCTTGGATCCCGACACAAGGTTCTCCCGTGAGAAGAGTGAATGCACACATGTACGAAGAATGAGTGGGGCATGTCATCTCCCCTCTAAAGCCATAGGGAAGACCAGACCTCCATCAAAATCTGGAAAACCTGTTCGTATGGAGATGTTGACAAAGGTTGAATGCTAACGATATATTTAGAGAAAAAAATAGCTTACAAAACAACATGTACATCATGACATCGTTTTTGTTAAAATAGGTGTATGCATATTTAAAAAGTCCGGAAGTATGTTTTCTCCAAAACGTTTGCCATGGTTTATTTCAGGGTGTTAGAGTTGAAGATGATTTCTACTCTCTTTAGTATGCCTATCTTGCCTGAACAATGTGTTATAGTGAGTGCATATCATTTTATAATCAGCAAAAATGGTAAAGTGAATTCCATTTTAAAAACCAGGGGGAAAAAAAAGAAAGGCGAGGGCAGGGAGTCTCCTGGATCACATAATCCATTCTCTTCACTGGACCCCTAAAGACAGGAAGGAGATCTGTCACACCTGCTCAGAAGGAACCTACAAAGCCCATCCAACCTGATACTCATTTGAGGCTTGGTGAGGGGCCTCAAGCCTCTGCTTGGTACCTCTGAGGATGGGGAACTCACTACCTAAAAAAGCAACCCATCCCAGTTTCCAGCAAGATCCCAGTCTAGTATCAGCAAAGGGAGGAAGTAGGCCTGCAGCAGAATTAGGATTTAGTATAACTGCTAATCCAGGACCCATCTCACCTGACTCTCTCTCTTCCTCTTACTAAGGAACAAGTTTGGAAACCCCTGAGTCTGCTGGAATTGGGACCAACAGTGGGAGGCCTGGAAGGGGCTAGGGGGAGACCCTCTCTGCTCTGTGTCTCCCCCGGGCATCTCAAAGCTGCAACCTCACACACACACACACACACACACGCAGGCTCGCACACAGACACACACACACACACACACACACACGCACAACCACTCTCCTCCCTCCACCTGTGGCACCTTCTGCTCCAAGGAGGACATTTCTCCCTGCCTGGAAAAGCCAATCCTGCTTCTCCCTCTTGTCCCCCTCCCCTGGAAGCTTCTGCCCGCTAGGACACCCAGCCCTCCCTCCCACCCCAGCCACAGGACCCTTACTCCACACCACCTTCCATGGCTCTTCAAGCCACAGGGCTCCCCTTCTCTGAATGCCTAGGGCAAGCAGTTTAATCCTTACAACACTTAATTAAGTGTGGCCTCCTCTTCCTATTTAATGTTTTCATACGTGTGAGCCTTGTCTCCTCAAATGAGCTTATACGCTCTTTGAAGGAACTAATGTTTACCTCGTGCCTATGTGCCAGGCCCCAAGCTCACTGCTCTTCCTGTATTACTTCCCTTAATCTCATAATCTCGATCCCAAGCCCCAGCCTCTCTCCGGAACTCCCACATACACGAACACTTCACTGGATTTCTACTTGCTTCCAACAACAGGTTTGAGACTCAGACATCTTCCCTCTGTGCCTAGACCTCCTCCCTCTTCCTCTCATCTCTCAGGTGATGGCTTTACCAGTCAGCAGACATCCAGGCCAGAGACCATGGCATCAATCTGGACTCCCCCCTCCCTCCGGTCCCGGTCCTGTAAGTCCCCCGGAAGTGACCTCTGAAGGTTTCCGAAGTGTGTCTCTGACCCAGCCCCTCCGCACTAGTCCTCTGCCTCAGCCTGACCTCAGGCCCCATCGCAGTGTGGTCCCGGTGGGGCTCTCTGTCTCCAGCCTCACTCTCCTCAGACCACTGTGTACACAGCAGCGCAAGAAATCTTTCCAAAACACCGGCAGGATCAGGTCGTTCTCTTGCTTAAGACTTCATGATTTCCCACTGTCTTCTGGAGGAAATCAAACTGGTTCTCCCGTGCTTCCATCAGGCCCCCACTTAACACACACATGCCCTCTGTGAGGACCAGCGGCCTGCCTCCTTGTGTAGGCCTATTCCTCCCTCAAACTCGGCTCAGATATCCCCCCAAAGCTGCCTTCCGCAATGGCCCCCGGCAGCCTCAGTGGGGAAGGCCTGCCCCTCAAACCAGTACTAGGGCAGGCCTGTGGTTTACCTGAGCATCCTGGGAGCTCCACACCCACAGGAGTCCCGCTGAATGGTTACCAAGCGTCAACGTGGCATCATCGTGTTACTGCCCTTATTCTGACGAGGAACACAGAGGCTCCGTGATGTCAAAGAAACTGCCCAAGCTCACGCAACTGCCAAGGTGGGGATCTGAAGCCAGGACTGACTCCAGCTGCTTCGTTCCGCCCTCTGAAGAACACATCTGGGGAGCCTTTTCTCGAGCAAGTCACAGTGCTCAGAGAGCACCCGCCATGGGCCAAGCAGTGGAGAAGTCGCCCACTCGGGAGGACCCCTGCCAGACTGCAGCAGTGCACCTTGGACAAGGCGGGCTGTGAACAGCTATCCCTGAATTCCCTGTGGCGCCATAATGAAGAGTGAATATCTTACTCTTCCTTCATGCACAACTCAGTGTCCTGCTTCTACTCTAGGTGAGGGCACCTCAGAGACCCTGGGATAACAGGGCCACCAGCACGAGGGCTGTGAGTCTTCCGTAAGAGCCTCCGAAAGGGCCCTGAGGGGGATGGCCAGCTCCAGGATACCATGAAGAAGGGGAACAGGGCTGCCTCTTCGCTGTGGATACCACCCCAAGAGGACAAAGAACGAATCCTGGCTGACCATGGGAAAAGGCACACCCCACCCCCTGAACACCACAGAGAGGAAAGCCCATGCAGGCAGCCCCAGGGGCACCTCTCAAGCACTCCTCAGTGTTGTAGTGTGTCTCTCCTCGCTGAGGACAGCTGAAAAAGCAAGGCTCCTCGGGCAGCACCAGGCTGTCTTCTCTGGGAGGGTGGGTCATGTAGGTTGATCAGAAGAGCGTGGGGCTTGAAGAAAGGTCTCTTCTCACATTTTAAGGACCCTTTTGGTCATAGCTAGAAAAGCTGAGTTGGTGGCAGCCATAGCATGGCCCCTCAGAGCCCAGGGAGGACATAGAAGGTGGGGATGTTCAGCGTTCTAATCATATTGCAGTGTATGGGTCAGCATCAGAGACCATCAGGCAAATGGGGCCCACACCATGGGCTCTCCCCAGGGCTGAGCAGCCTCAGAATCACAGACTGCCCCTGGCCAAGGGTGCGGCCCCAGCCCCTGCAGTGTACCACGGAGGAGCGCCTGAGAGTGCCCACGGGGGCAGTGACCCCCACACTACGCTTCTCAAAGCCAAGCCAGTGGACAGGCTCCCCTTGGCCATTTCTCCATTGAACACACAGATGAGCAACTTCTCCATGCTGCATGTGCTTCCTTTCCTTGAGGATCTTTCCCAGGAAGCTCTGACCAACAAACTGACGAACATTTCTTTAGCTCTGATCAAGCCTCCATAATCACCTCTTCGCCCAACCTGCTAGAAGAAGTCACCAGTGCCTTCCACTTTCCCAAATCCAATAATTAGCTGTGTGTCCTCATCTTTCTGGACCTTTCAACAGCATCTGGCACAGCTATCCACTCCCTCTTTCTCAAAAGTCTCCTTCTGACTCCTGGGGCACCATAAGACCACCACCAACCCCTTACCAGGCACTTAAAGGTG